CCGGGGGGGGGGGGGGGGGGGGGGGGGTACTTGCGTTTTGCATGCCTTAGCATTGGGAGCACCCGTTCTCTACATAGTCCAAGAGTCCCAGAAGTGGTGATCCCAAAAAAAAAAAAAAAAACTTACATGAAACACAGGCGCCATTAGCCAGTCGGCCGAGTCGAGGACGAGCGTCCGCGCCGCCGCCGACACGCGGAGCGTGCCCTCCTTCATCAGGAACTTGACGCGGCCGGGCGTGCCGACGACTACGTTTACACCCCTCGCCGGCGAGGGCCTTGTGGTTCTCCGAGACCGTGCACGCCCCCGATGAGGGTCGCCACCGAGAGACTAGGAATGCCTTCCCCGAGACGAGTCAACATTGTCTGCGGGGGGGGGGGGGGAGGGGGGGTGAGACCGACCTGCAACAATGAAGGTGCATTTCGAGGCCAAGAAAAAACCAAAAGGCGTACGACAACAGCCCTCACAAGGTATATTTTCGAAAAGGAACCGAACCGCGCGCACCTACAGCAGTGCAGCCCAAATGCTAGAGTTACCATTTTCTCCCGTTCAAGTCGCACGGTATCGACATTCGAAACAAAATTTGCATGCCGCTTGTCTCACGCATGAAGCAGGCCTCCCGCGCCCAACACACACACCTCCAAGACTCAAGAAGCTGCAGCTGCACCAACTCGAATGGGGAAATAGTCTTTCTGTGGTTTCAATGTACATCTGCTAAAAGAGAAAAGAGAGGGGAGCAGCAGCAGCAGCAACAGAAACAAAACCCACCGTAACGTCCGACGCCATGTCTCGCGTCCGCGTCAGCACGAGCGCAACCACCTCGTACTTCTCCCGATCTGCCCCGGTACAAGCAGCACCACCACCGCCCGATGGTGCCGGGGCTCTCGCCGCTTGCTCACAGTCGCCGCAGAGGGGTTGCGGATACCGCTCCAGCACCCTCTCCAGGACGGGCACGCAGTACGCCGTGGCGGTCTCGTCCCCTGGTCTTGCCTGCTCATTTCACGAACGTCATACACAGGGGGATAACGTCATATGCGAGCGGGTTGGGCTCTTTGGCATATTTGTCGATCACTGTTTCAAGCTGTACACATCAGGGTGCCTTCCGGAGTGGGCTGGCTCCTGGGAGAGCACAGCCGTTGTCGTCAGGGGGAGATGATGCAAGATTACGACGAAACCTGTCGTCGTTCAAGCTGACACAGCTGACACAGCTGACGCTTGCGTACACTCGGAAGAGCCCAGCGAGGACCACGACCGAACCAAAAAAGACCAAAATACAACCACAAGTGTGATGACCGTTTCGAGGGCAGTCTAAATTTGACGCTTTTAGGGGTATGCATACGTCCGCAGAGGAAAAAAACAGAGACAGGTGAGATGCCATACGATTCGCAGTCGGCACAAGTAACCGCTACAGCACGTGTTTTTTTTCTAAATGACGGAGACAAGAAAAAAAAAGAAAAAAAGGACGTACGTGCACGAGAAGATCCTCCCTGCCGGCGCCTCGACCGATGCTCCAGACAGACTCCTGCAGCGGGGTCGGCAGCGTGACGCCGTTCGCGTCTAGGGAGGCGAGCAGTTCGGCCGGGATGTTTCTCTTCGCTTCCCGGAGCGACGCCGTCGAGCCGCACCTCCGCATCCGCCGCACCGCCGATCCCTCCCCCTCAGAAGCAGCCTGCTGCTGCTGCTGCTGCTGCTGCTGCTGCTCCTGTTGCTCCCGCTGCTGCCGCTGCTGCTTGTCGTGAAGGTCCAGCTGCTGCCTGCTCAGCTGATCCCACCCCTTGTCCGAGGAGCAGGAGCGAGGGCTCTCGTCCTCCCGCGACCCCACGAAGCGCTTCTTGGACCCCGAGATCACCACCTCCCCCAGCAGCAGCGACGACGTCGAAGATCCTTCCGCCGGCGGCTTGCGCTTCTGATTCTGATTATCCACCGCCGCGACCATCATCGCCGACAGCCCTCCCTTCGACGCGGCCGGCGAGAGGAGCCCCAGAGACGACGCGGCGTCGTCGTCGTAGGCACCCGCCTTGCTCAGCGCCCCCCGCGTCCCCGCGCCCCGCCGGCTTCTCTGCTTCTGTCCGCTGCCGCTGCGGCCGCGGCTGCGGCAGCCGCCACCGCCGCCGCCGGTGTTGCACGCCGCCAAGGCTCGTCGCTCTTCTACCGACATGCTCTCTCCCGCCCTGGAATCGGGCGACGCAGAGCTGTTGTGGAAAACCCCCTTCTCGACGAGGGAGTACGACGGCGGCGGCGGCGAGAGGCCGCCGCCGCCGCCG